TACCATACAGGTAAGCCGAAGTATTAAAGAGTTAAAAATATTTGGAAAAATTTACAAGCGCTTATTTTAAAAGCAACTCAGTGACGTAGTCTTCAAATCTTTGGTTCACTTAAATATATGCATATATCTTGTAGTAACTCCCAAGTCCGACTTTCTATTAACCTCGGCATTGATTGAATATATATCTTTCTACTTATCTTCAGCAAACACGAGGTGTTATGTTTATATGTCACCTCATTGCCTTTTATTATAGCTAGTCAAAAGTCTTACTATGAACCCTAGCCCCTGCCTCCACTTCTCATAAAGTGCTCTGCTCGATTCTCATTTCTTACTAGGTGAAATCTTAGATTTGTTCTCCATCAGATCAATCCCGTTGACGGTTGATTGGTGATGGCACTGGTAGATAGGGAAACTAGCTGAGAAAAAGGCGAAACGAAGGACACGCATGGTGGTGTCGTGGTGAATGCGTTAGCTCCCTGAAAGGGCACTTTCGTGTTCTACCCCCACCGCATACACCTGCAGTCTGGAGTTCTGCAAATATCTCATTTCACTGTGAAATCCTAGAGTTTTCCCAGCGAAATTCACGCAGAATTGAGCTTGAATGGGTTTTTTTAGACAGTGCAAATTTAGGAGTCTCAAATTAACATTGAGTGAAGCAATGCATCAAGGTAAATGAAAAAGTTTTACTAGTAGCACGCAAGGATATGTAGTGGTTTGTATCTGCATCGATTACTGTGGTTTCTTAAAAGGTAGTCATAAAAAAACTGAGCGACCTATAGATTTCCATCCCTAGCTTTTCGAATGAGGTTTCTCCATGATTACCGATTCAGCTTGCGAACCTGGTGAAACTATCGCAATCTCTTCCTCTTCTAACTCTCCGATAATTTGCGATGTGCCTTCCAGTTGTCCACAAGGCTATAGATGTGTTTACGACAAGCTTTTTCGACGACACCACTGCTGTGGACTGTCGAACAAAGGTAGGATATTCTTGTCGCAAAATATTACTGAAATCTACGTTCCAAATCCATGTTGAGCAGATCGAGCTGTTTACATCATACTCACAAATATTCTCGTAATTTGTTATTCTTTCTTATTCTCGCAGAACTAGCAAGGTAGTTAAGGAGTCCGAACAGTAGTACACGCATAGTCGTTGGTTCGACCTTGAACCAACTAATTAATTCTCTTATCCTTCCGGAGGCGACAAACTGGGAGCCAATTTGTGTGGGACTTGCCTATTGCAATTTTCCAAACACCGATGGTCACATGTGGTGATGGAAAGGCAACTCACTCCATTCCGGAGTTCCAGGGAGAATCGCCTCGATCAACATTGAAGAACATCCATGGAGAAGCTATCGTCCTCAAATGACAGCCGAACTTACACAGAACTCTGAAGACCGTGGAGACGGATGCCAGACAACGAACTTACTGAAAGAAGTGCTACGTTTTAGCACAATTTTGATGTCGAGCAATATTTCTTGTACGATCCTACATCACGTAGTGTGTACATCGAAACATTTGATTACTTCGATTCTTTTCCTTGTATCCATTATCCACGAATTTCTTTTGATTCGAATACCAGCTAGTGAGCATTCTTGATCTTCGTTGTCATTACTGTCGTTGAATGCTGGCCGAGTCAAATCTACCCGAAATCCTGGCATAGCCGTGCTAAACCTTCCCTAGTTTTCGTAGATCGGAGTAAGAGCTTCCAGACAGATCTGGTATCAGTTCTTCAATCCTGGAGTGAAGAGAGGCCTGATTGGCCACGAAATGGGTGGAAGCAGGGTTTCGCACTTAATAGACGGGATCACTACCACCACTCTTCCCGTACCCGAAGTCTTTCTAAACCATAGTTAAACATGCTCTTCGTAATTCGAATATGGTAAATGTTTTGAAGCAGTCATTTTCAGAAGGAAGATGTCCAATTGGTTCCGCGTCATTCACTTCTCTAACTACACATAGTGCATTGCGATGCACTCCAAATTCTTATTCTGACCCATGCCCTGAGGAGTTCTTATGTTTCAGTCAGGGATTCACTGGATATTGCTGTAAACCACAAAACGGTAGGACACTTTTAATATAATACCTAAAATGAGTAAAGTAGGCTGTTCCCACCAATCGTTCGCCACCTCGATAACAACGGTTCTCCCTCATGTTTGGGCAGTATCAAGTTTATTAGTCACAGGGTAAGGATAAGTCTCTTTGTCGAATAGAAGGTTACACTTGGTCCAAAGTCGACAGTGTACATCGCGATGGTGAATTCAGTGAATGAGCTCCATTTGCCATGCCCGACCAACTTTTCGTAAACCTACTTGGATCATCCTTAAGATTCGTACAGTAGTTGTACGTGAGGTGTACGGGTAATATTTCATGATCCACAAATTGTTTCGAAGTGTGAATATATCTGGTTGGTGAGAGCTACGAGCATTGATGTGTGGTCAATCTAGAGAGCGCTTGTATCACCTTGGAGTCTACTGTGTTACTCTTTTTGTAAATCAGGCATCAATTACTCAGTACATTACATGATCGGAACCCTCAATATTTCACTTTCAGGGTGCATAAGACCGCACTTTCGGTTTGACGTCATTCTTTGCAGATAAAAGGATAAAACTCTCGGCGTTGATCAATCCTGAGGGATGCACCATGCGTTCAACTTCATTAAGCATTTGGAGGCGTTTGGAGGCGGTTGAATGCAAATCTGGCGCTTACAATGACTCACGGTGGCCGACCGATGTATCGAGCCTGTGTTGCTATCCTCTCAGAGAAGTCTGGTACCACTCTGCCGACCCCGAAAGGATAGAAGACTTAGTGGGCCATGGGCGCGAGGATCAATCCCAAGTGTGTGTGTTGCAGAGCGACTCCGACCACTGCGCCACACGCGCCTTCTATTGCAGATGTCTTTTAGAAAACAAAAAAAAACAGCCTAAATTTTGAAGCTAGGCATTTTGTTCAGTGTTATTTTGTAAATCTGCCAAAGCCTACTTCTTTTTCAGGTATTTGTCCATTGGGTCGGACATCTTTGCAACATTCCACGAATAAATCGGTAAAGTGTAGCCTACTAGCAGCAGAATCAACTTGTTATGATGGTTTTGAATGCATCTCACCGTTTACAGATGCCTCATGGGGTTTCTGTTGTTCAGCAAAAATCACAGGTTTGAAGACCGGAATTTGAAGGAGAAAGAATCCTATCAATTTTCTTCAGAAATGTGTCCAAACAACACCGAACCGTACCTCTTTCCGGGCAACGAGCAACCACAGCAATGCACTGTTGGTGTAACCATATGCAGGTGTGGAAAGCAGTCCCTTTTGTTATACCGCCCTGAAAACCAGGACCTCCTGCTTTATGTAGGCTTTGATCCTTGCTATTGAAACAGTTTTCATATGATTCAGAGTGGGTTACAGTTGTCAAAGTCAAGGCGGATCGATCATAGGATTCTGCTGTTCGCATTCAGATGAAATTTATAGAGTAAATGGTGAGCAGAAACAGCGATTTATAGAAATGCCTGGAAAATATCATCTTAGCACTAGGAACACTACTTGTTTCACAAAACATACATTAACAAAATGACCCTGTAAAGTCACTTAGCAGAATCGTAACGATACGTGCTGATATCAATGCGTAGGTCCTTAGTCCTTAAGCAATCTGTTAGAGTTACAGAGTAATATTTTACACAATCGTCTTAGCAGTGATTTCCTAAATCCGGATCTAAACAAAATGAAAAACAGCCTTCTACGACCACTTTACAGTATCTTCTCCAACACGTGGCTATTATTAACTCGCAGCACTTTTTCAAGGGTGTGAGAACTATCCGTATATGTTAACTGTCTACTAGCCACTAATGAATAAATTACCATTACAGTGTGCTGACTTGCTATCCACTATACCAACCGAGGCCTTTGCCTTGTGTTTCTCTAAGCCATATTTTTACTCTATAGGTGCCATCAGCAATCACCCACAATTCCTATGGTTGTAGGTTTCAACTAACCATTTTCAACCTTGATTTGTGCTCCGCAAATCATTGCCGTCGACGGATGATTCCTGACGAAACAGTTAGGTTAGAAAAAAACTGGCTGAGAGAAATACAAAGCAAGTGTCTCGACGAAGCAGTAGACAGCTCGTGAGCCTCCAATGAGGAGTAGCCGCGCTTCCGGATTTCAACTCAAGCTCCATGTTTCGCCCATTTTTGCTTATATCTTAGCACCTTCGTGGTTAAATTAAGAAATATTGTCAGCAGATAGCAAGCCCAAGGAATACAATCCCGTCCCACTGCTATCAACGGCTTTCGATTTAACGATGTTAGCATGCCCAAATCACCTCACTCCATCGTATCTCGCCGACTCTCAACTTATCACTGAGTGCACAAAAGCCGATCAGGACAAGGACAACAGCAGATGTCCAGGTAATATTTGATACGTTCTATCACAGACGGTTTATATGATCTTATTTTAAGCGCCGGCCCAATGTGTACGGGCACCACGTGATGTCTTAGGTCGCTCAGTCTGTTGCTCTGAGACGAACAGAACGATTTCAAAGGAAAACCTGAAATAATACGAAGTGACGAAAATGCAACAATCTGCCACATAATTTGTATTGACTGATAAAGCCTTCAACAAGTAAGAAAAAACTTGGTAAAGTTAATATCAATAGATCCGTTTATAAATGTAGGTACATTCGGACACAGCGCGAAATGAACAGCAGATGAGAGCAATGTAAAAACATAAAACAATAAAAAAATAAGAATGACTAGCAAAATTCTCACACCTAAGGATACATGAAGATATAACCGTAAGTAAAAACTCCAGGGGTGCCTCTGAGAGCACAAGGAGCACTAAGACAGTAGTTGTAAAGGTTAGTTGTTGTAACTGGAAAGATATTAGAACTATGGCTGACAGCACTGTAAATAAAAAAGGTTAATTTGATAGGAACTACCTCTTATGTTACACTGCTAGACATTTAAAACGTATATTGTTAGAAGATCACCAAGGTTACCTAGTTACAGAAATTAAAGCTCATCATCAAAGTTCAAGTGTCGAATAGCCACAGAAGGGGGGATTCGTTTGCTGATCTCTAGATCAGCTTTAGCAGCTATTCTTTTGCATCCAGAACTAGAGAAAATCTCCTGTCCTCGTGGAAAGTACTGGAAAAGTTGCTGAGAGTACAAGAGTACAGTACAACAGGTCTATTTCTCAAAATATAGCTGAAGTACGCCTAATGGCAGTACATAAAAGTAAATCTATCACCTGTAAAGAGTCAACGATGCGATGAACTAATTCATCATCCTTAGCTAGATCTGACCTTCCATGGGACTTTAAATATGAAATCGTGCAAAGGATTACATGCCGACGCTCCAAGGGAAGGAACGGTATGAAGTGGTCAATCAGATGATTCGAGATTAACTCGCAAAACTTGAGACCACCTAGAAACCTGCCATAAATAGATAGGATATGTTACCGAAAACATACCTTTCTCAACAACGAATAGGAATAAGAACTAACGCACCTACCTGGTTCGTTATATGCTGCTTCCATTAACATTCGTTCAAAATTGTTCAGGGTAAGGTCTTCACGCGGACTACCAGCTTGGTAATGACTCAAGGCTACATTTGCTACCAGGTTTCCACCACGATTGCTGCAATAGTACATCAAGTACGCAAAAAAAAAACTCGAGAAGTAAAGCAAATATCTAAAAAATACAAAAAAACTGAATGGAAAGAAAAAACAGGCCCAAAACTGAGTAGATCATTTGACATACCAACAACATTCACCTTAGAAACAGAAATGTGCTCTTCCTAAAATCCACACCTCCAACTGAGTCGTAGTAGTCGAGAAATGGTTTAATAGCTTCTAGAACAAAACGAAGTATATAAATATTTACAAATTTACATCGTATATATCTATATCTACACTTATATTTGGCAGAATACACGCATTGTCTTTTATAACTAAGAATAAGAAAAGGGCGCGTGTGGAGCAGTAGTCGGCGGCACCCTGCAATACACATGGGATCGATCTTAGCACCCCAGACCCACCAAGCCCGCCATCCCTCCACGGTAGGCAAATTGGTGCCAAACTTGTCTGGTTAGATAGCAGCATTGCCTCGATACATCTGTAGGCCACCGCGAGTTATTGTAAGGGCCAGATATGCACTCAATCATCTCCAACGATGCTGAACGAAGTCGAATGCATAGCGTATCACTCGGAGATAAATCAACGCCGAAAGCTTTATCATTCATTATTTTTGCTAAGAATAAGATAAGAGATTCGTCACTATGACAACAGAATAGTACAAGGTAACAAACTCACCTAGAAGTTGTTCAGGTAGCTTATCTGCCTCGTCAAAAATAAACAGCGCTCTGTTACATCTGTTCACTGCCTCCAAAATCCGCTTACGTAATTGCAACTGTAAAATTTCCTCTAAAATATCGAAAAGATGGTAGCCTGAAGCATCTAATAAATGATCGAAAGCTGATACTGCAACAAGGAAAGCATGGATACAAGTCAAGCTTCGAAGTAACTCACTACGAGTATTTAAAAAACCCCATAGCTACCTTATACTCATTAATCTTGTCTTTATCAGGAAAATCTGAGGTCGCAACAATGTGGTGGACAAAATTACTCTTCATACCATTTCTAAAATATTACCGATAAAAATCAAAATTCTCATGTCTCTGGCTACATATAGATCGTTCGGCCACTTCTGTTCAAACCCCTAAAACTTACCTAAACGTACTGTTAGCAATAATCTCTGCAACATAATTCTTGCCAGATCCCGTGAACCCATGGAAGGACATCACCAGTGGCTTCTTCGTAAGTTCATTTGTCCAGTGAGCACGGACTGAATTCTCTACGACGTCCAATACTAAGTGTTGTCCATAGACAAGCTCATCTAAGTCATGATGCAACTCTGAATGTAAGCACCAATACTGACCATAGCTAAGTACCAATTTATTCTCTAGGTATATTGTGAGAGTAAGAAAGTACTAATGTATTTTTTAGGATTAAGGTATCGTGACAGTAAGAGAGTTTCAATGTACTTTTTAGGGATGATGTAATGCGAGAGTAAAAACGTACCAATGGATTCCTTAGAGATAAAGTATTGTCAGAATAAGAAAGTACCAATATATTCTTTAGGTATAAGGTATTGTGGGAGTAAAAAAGTGCCAATGTGCTCTTTAGGGATAAGGTATTTTGAGAGTAAAATCTCTGAAAAATTCCAGAAGAATGGCTTACTATCAAAACGTGGATTCACATACGGTCGATCACAGCACTCGTATAAACTGCATTTGATCTTGTTCTGGAATTTCCACAAGGCACCACCACCAAACAATACAGCCGCTCCTTAAATAGACGGATAGACACATCATCTAACTGATTTACTCTGAAGTATGAGAAACTGTAGAAAAAGTTAAGTTACCAGCTAATAAGGAAATAGGTTCTGCAGACATTACGCGTGGTTTCAAGAAGAAAAGCAAAAGCAAACGCAGTGGTAAACTCATAAACTGAAAGATAACAAAGTATTAAGGACCATAGGAGTTTGAAGTCGATCAATGATATCGCAAGTGAGACCACTACTGAACAAAACACGTAGAATGAAACATGCTTTATCCATTCTAAATAAAAACACGATGTGAAATATAACCATAATGATGCTGAGATATCTAAGAAACTCCAGACCGCAGGTATATGCGGTGGGGACCAAACACGTTGTTACCCTTTGCGGAGGCTGACGCGTTCACCACCACACCATGCGAGTCCTTCGTTTTTCTTTTCTCTCAGCCATGTTATTGACCTATAGGAACCGAAAAAAGTGACGAGAAACATGATGCTTAAATCAAGACAGAGGAAAACACCACTAATATCAGGATACAAACGAAAACGATGTTATCGTGTTGTTGGTGAGCCAGCTCGAGGTTGTAACCGTTTGTTTCACAGTAGATGTCTCAAGAGATTACGCTTTCTTCACTGCTCGGAAAGGATTGTACTGACACCTAGTTTATGCGAACAAAACATTTTCATGATATTAACGAAAAATTCAGACGTTCAACGAAAAATAACCACATGGTATACATCTTTTTTTTAACAACACGTCTCTTAGCCTTTCGCGATCACACGCGGTCCATCTCCATAACGATAACCCGTGAAGTCTGGCGCTGATTTTTCACAAGTTCCGCTAGTTCTAAAAGCCAACTTTCGCTAAGCCTCGGTCAACTTGTGATAGTTTCTCGATCACTATAAGAGTTGCGAACTTGGTGGTGTTGCAAAGGGAAGCTTTGATCTATCGTCATAGGTGAAAATAACGCTTCTTTTTAAATGTTCCTTTGATTTTAAAAGATCGGAAAAAACGAGGCAGTTGCAATATCAGGACACATACGAGAGACCATTCCGCCTTGTTCCTCGGAATCTCAACTACACGATCGTTTCGGTATTCGAAATAAGACCCTTAACGCGAAAAAACTGCTTCGTAGCCTCCGTGAAATCAAAATTTCATCTTGCTACAGTAACAGGACCTATGGCTAATAGGCAAAGTTCTGTAGATTACAATGTTCTTCGCCATAAATGAAGTTCCTTACGAGCTGAGATATATCTGCCTATAGTTAAGAGAAGCAATTATTTTTTTGGCTATCTGCGAGCATATAGAATATTCTGTTATGGGTTAATTTATGACAAGGGCAGATTCCTCATCCCATGTGAGCGATGGGTGGTGTCCTCATAGCTGTTTGTGAAACCATCGAAACTTAGTGTCAAAACTTTCAATCTAGGTTACGAAAACATTTCGTCGAGCGTCTTCATATCCGTACAACCCTTTCCAGAATTTCAAGAAGGCGAATGGAGCGGAAACTCTAAAGAGTTGCAGAGAGAGAGAGAGAGAGAGCAAGAGAGGGAGTAAGCTCAACATTTTAAACATAATAATAATATGATGGTAATAATAACAAACATAACAATTAAACAAGTTGATTGTATTGGTAGTTCTGTGTTGGCCCATCAAGAACACAGAAATGACCTTCGCTCAGGTTAACAGGAAATCGATCATGGGAACAAGAGAACAAGAGTCAAAGCCAATTTACTAAAAGTGGGACGGAGAACTTACACACGACAGCAGGGATAACCTTCTCCCCATCACAGCCAGCGTAGGACCAACAAAATCACCTAGTCATCAGCAAGTTTATGAGCGATTTCCAACTGTGACAAAGCTCTAGCCATCACCGATCGCTCTCCAGCTTCACGATCCCACTCCCATAGGGCAAAGGAGTCCCTCTGGCTCTCAATATCATACATGTCATCTACTGAAAAAAAAACAGTCTACATTTAACGAGCAATCGAAGGCTTTGTAGAACCAGTGCATATCTACTATCTAAATCTAAGCCAAAGAAGGCAATCGATAAAACTTTGATGAACATCAAAAGTTCTATAGACTGCAAAATAGAAATGGATGAAATAGTGAAAGAACCTTGCCTCGTTTCTTTAACACATACAGCTTGTAACCTGATGGCAAGTCAAGTGTGATACCCTCAAGACCATGACCACGAAAAGCAGCATGCCTTCTTGAGTCCTCATCTATTCGTTGAATAAAATATCTGGAGAAAAAGTAGACGTATATACTTCATATACTTCAATACTTCAAATACTTCACCACTAAAAACATCGTTACTTCCTCAAAAAGAGTAGAAACAGATGTACCTTGACACCGGCGCGGGACCATCGAAGTTTAATTTGCACGGTATTGAATGAATATCCCCGTCCTTCTTCATTGAACTTAGGGGCTTAGAAATCAAATAGACCGGTTTTGCCATAACTCTAAAAAATATTTAAAGATTAAAGAAAAGACTTAAAAATGTCAATATGTACGTTGCCATGATGAAGTGATAAAGGATAGAGCTCTCGGCATTGATCAATCCCTGAGGGATGCTACAATCGGCCCCATTAAGCATTGTTGTAGGTGACTGAGAGCATATTTGGCCTTTACAGTTTACCCCGATGGTCTACGGATTTATCGAGCCAGTGCTGCTGTTCTCCCAGACAAGTCTGGTACTAATCTGCAAAGCCCGGAAGGATAGAAGGCCTGGTGAGTCCCGGGTGCGTGGATCGACCCCATGTGTATTGCAGAGCGCTTCCGACCACTGCGCCCCACGTGACCTGATGAAGCGACAAAGCAGAAGATTACGCAGTAACTAAGTTAAGCAAGGATATTGTAGGAAGCGATATTTACTACAACTGAAAAAATAATTATGATTTGATAAGATATGTTCACTACAACAACGAAATAACAGCATTGGCTGAATCGATTTCGAGAATAAAGTGCACAGTAACAAATATGCTTAAAAGTTATTTATATAACAACTTGAGCAGAAACAGATGAATGCCAGTAACCATATAGTACGGCATTAATAAAAAAGAACGTTGCGGACGTTGATCAATCCCTAGGGATGGGCCGTGCATTCGACTTCATCAAATATCGTTAGAGATCGTTGAATGTATACCTGGCCCATACAATTAATTGAAGTGGCCTACTGATGTATCGAGTCACTGCTAACCTCCCAGACAGTTTTATTACCAATTTGTCGAACATGGAGGGATGGAACGATTGGTGAGCGTGGGACTCAGCATCAAATCAATGTGCATTGCAGGGCACCTCTAACCATTGCGCTACACGCACCTCACCTTAAACGTGGACCCCAAGGCAGATTCCAACCTGCGATTAGCCTTTCCGGAGGCTCACATGTTACCCAGTGTACCAATGAGGAACTCGGGTTAGAGGAGCGCCGTGGTTAGAGGCGCGCTGCAATATGTATGGGCTTGATCGCGCGCCCTAGGCTCACCGAGCCTTCCATTAGTCCCGGGTCTGCAACGGTGACTCGAAACATCGGTAGGCAACCACAATTTATTATACAGGCCAGATATGCATTCATTTACTTCTGATGATGCTTGATGAAATATGAAATCGCTTGGCGCACCCCTCAGGGATTGATCAACATCGTGAGCTTCATTTAGTAGCAACAGAAAAAAAACACCAACATTTCTCTGTCAAAGAGCACTTTAAAGCGATTTAACACTCAAAGTGGTCGTCAATACCATAAAAACATTTAAAAAGATACGTCGATTTATTACTGAATCGATAGAGCTTCTCCATCAATCGTTCTTCACACCGTTCGCACGAAGTCGCTGTTTTAAATGCCGAATACTCTTACGAGATACTTTTTTTCTGATAACTTTAAAAGGAAGACCATGGTCGAAGTTCGGGGTTGAACCTTCTTCTGCAACTTGTAATTTGAATATTAAAATAATCTACTAATATAGTGGTTTGAGAGGTCGTGTAAAAGGACTGACCTTCTGCCATAACTGTAGAGTTACAAAACTCAGTCGGTGACAACACCACGATCCCTTTTACTGGACTATCTGCAAAAAATTGTACATTGATACAGCTGTTCATAAAGGTTGTATACAACATGCACGAAATCTCATGAAAAGCATAAAAGGATAAAAGGATGAATCTCTCAGCGCTGATCAATCCTTGCGGGATGCGCCATGCACTCGACTTTATTAAGCATTGTTTGGAGGTGACTGAATGCATATCTGGCCTTTACAATGACTCGCGGTGGCCTAACAGTGTATCGACCCAGTACTGATATCTTTCCAGACAAGTTTGGTGCCAACTAGCCAGCCCCGGAGAGATGGAAGGCTTGGTGGGCCTGGGTGCCGGGATCGATCCCATGTGTATGCAGGGTGCCTCCGACCAATGATGCGCTACACTTGCCCCTAAAAGCATCTGTATTACAACTATTGCAATTAGAATCAACTCAAAACCTACCTACACCGGTAAACCATGGATTCTCGGAGGAATGGATAACCTCCGCAGGTATATGGAACATTTGCGTTGTAGGCTTGCTTCCGTGAGCGGTAAAACATTTATCACCTCAAATTTCAATTTTGAGGTGGCTGCATTAATGTAAAACTGTAAAAAATAGGTTTCTTTATCCCCTGCAAAAGCTATGCATAAAAATTTGCAGAGAAAAGCCATACAAATAAACGCAGATCATTACAATTCAACTTCTTTAAAAGAAACTACTCACCTATAACAACCCTCTCGTCATTTGAGAAACATGAACGAATTGGTATCCGACTCTCCAATAATTTCTCTAAGGATACCTGGAAAATAGCGTATTTTTTTAAAATGAAAACAAGCGGATGAAAAACGCCTGAAACATAAGAAACATCTTTTCCGTTCATCGTGTAATGTACTTACTTGGATGGCCCTTCTTCACTGGTTGTGCGAACCAAAGCATAATTTTCCTTTTCTCGGAAGTTTGCTGGTTTAGCTAACGTTGTTCTGTGGAGTCCCGAGGACAGCCTGGCCGATGGCTAGTTTAGTACCAGGACGGTGGTGGATCCTAGCATTGGTTTACTCCTAGCTGGGCTTCCAGGTGGAAACGTCGGACTCCTTCTCAGCTTGGGAAGAATTGCTGGTGGGATGAATCTGCCGCTGCACATCGCAGCCCGATACTTAGTAACACCTCCAAGCCACGATGAGGAGGTAATCCGTTGGGAGGCATTGTGTAATATAGGCAAATCAAATGAATACTTAGGTATAGGCAATAACATAGGGCGCGTGTGGCGGAGTGGTTGGTGGCGCCCTGCAATACACACGTGGGATCGGTCCTCGCGCCAGTGGCCCGCTAAGCCTTCCATCCCCTGGAATCCGCAAATTAGTACCAGCCTTGTCTAGAAGGATAGTAGCATTGGCTCGGTACATCGATAGGCTATGGCGAGTCATTGTAATGGCCAGATACGCATTCACTCACCTCCAAACGATGTTTCATGAAGTCGAATGCATGGCGCATCCATTAGGGATTGATCAACGCCGAGAGCTTTATTCTTTTTAACTGACCCCCTAAACAGTATACTCCCAACGGCAGCGGAGATGTCTTCAATGTCAAACTGTAATATACAGCAAAAAAATCCTCGAAAGTCTCATACAAACTGTGTAGTTCAAATTTTCCAGCCGGGATACTAGTTAAGATCTCCAAACGGTTTACTGCCTCATAGTGGCTGGGAGGTGTTCCTGGGTGTCGCCAAGCCGAGGAATCCAGTGTTTCCATTAGGAAACCCAACTAAGAGTAAACCAAAGCCAGGATCCACTAGCGTACCGGTATCAAACTAGTCGCGTGGTGGCAAATCTCCGTCTGACCCACAAAGGACTCGTGACCTCAAAGAATCACAATGGCTAAACCAGTAAAATTCCGACAAAATGAGGATTGTGCTGGGGTCAGCGCAAGCAGTGAAGACGGGCCATCCAAGTAGCCAAGTAAGTATAGCAGTTAAGAAAAAACCTATGTTACGAACAGCCGTTGTCTCATAAAAAACATTAACCAAGAGACTGCAGTATTTTGTAAAGTTGGATCACTCAAATATTGAGTTTAACAGTATAGCAAAACTAGCATACAAAAGTGCTTATCAGTGACACCAGATGAAGGAAAAAAAGAACAAATATCTCGTGAAAAGTCATTAATGCAAGCGCTTAAAGTACACACCTCAACAGGTTTACGTATCAAATACAGCTCATATTGTCCACTTGAGGTAAAATCAGCGCCGAACTCTTTTGGATCGCAGTCTTCTCGGTCATTTTCGTGCACACTATTCATCTTTGTTCCCGGACTGTGAAGGCCATTTTCATCCAATCTTATTTCTTTTTTCTTTTTTCTCTTTCGTGAACTACTAATACCTTCTCCAAAAATTTCTTCTGGTAAATGAAGAGATTCGTCACTGTCGCACTCCTGAAAAATAACATTGCCATAGATTACGCTGAATAAAACTGATCATAGCTGACCTTTTACAAACCTCACTGCAGGGTTTCCTCCTCTTAGTTGCCCGGGACAAATCTGTATCATCGATTTCAGCGTTCCGTTTTCTCCCCATATGCAAACTGCAATGGCTCAAAATGAACTTAGGGTGAAGTAAATCTGGTAAGAATCAAAGTAACATCCACGCAACTATATTGTATGAGGATCTAGAACCGCTTAACCAAGAAACTCTAGGACATATTCCAACCTCGCCGCAAGTGAAGGAACGGCCCAAAAGTGCCAATGCACTTGCTCGGAGAAGTAGCTCGATCAAGAAGATGAGCATGTTCCCTTTGCTAAGTGAGAATAACTTACCATACATGTTTCTCACTTAGCAAAGGCAACATGCTCATCCTCTTGATCGACCAATGTCTCAGAGCAAGGGCATTAGCACTTTTTGGGTCAAGTTCCTTCACTTCTAACTACTCTGGCAAATGTTGTATTGTTTCTACAAGTTTCATCACATTCATTTTATTACGACAGAGCTTGTAAAAATTCCACACTGCATGTTGGGTTTATCAAAAACCTCGAGCCACTGATGTGGCTCTCGTGAGGGCTAGTCAGCTAGCTGTGTATGTCCTCTCATCAAAACCTGTAAGAATACGAGGCGTAAAACAGTAGTAAAACATTTTCTTTTATTTATTTCACATGAACCATCGTCACATCTACTGTGGAGATCCCAGCAGCTCTTCTATTCGATTCGTTCCCTCGCATCATTCGACATCCACAATGATCTTCGATCATTTGCATATTGTTTCGACTTCAGCTTAAGGATTTCTTCCTCTTTATGAATGTCGTAGAACGCTAGTCAAGCCGATTCTCCTTGCAATCATGGAGACAGTCTGGCTAAGGAGTTCCCACGTGGATTGGAGGACAGCGTTGGAGCGGGAATCCAATCAGGTTTTGCATCCTGGTCGACGGCATCACTAACCACTGCTCTACCCGTGCCCCGTATAGTAAAACGGTACGAAAAACCGGAAAAATAAATTTGTGACGATATTCACGTTCGCTAAGCTATCGAATGCTGTTAGGCGGCAAACGCATGCAACACTGACGAACAGAGACTTCACTTTTGTTCGCTTAATTATTGCATCGATTCACGCGATTATAAATGACACCAATGAAGAAGGTCGCGTGTAGCGGAGCGGTCAGAGGCGTCCTGCAACCACGTGAGATCGATCTCCGCGCTCCGGCCCACTAAGCTCTCCATCCCTCCGAGATCTGCAAATTGGTACAACATTTGTCTAGGAGAATAGCAGCATTGACTCGATACATCAATAGGCGACCGCGAGTCATTGTAAAGGACAGATATACACTCAGTCTTCTCAAACGATGCTTAATGAAGTCGAACGCATGGAGCATTCTTAAGGGATTAATCAACGTCGAGAGTTTCACCCTTTATCCTTTTTTTGTTAATGAAGAGACCATAACTCTGACCATTAACAGAGGTTCTCTAGAATACCTAGTAGGTATACCTTAAAGCAACCTGATAATATCTTTTAAAAAGGAAAAAATTGAGGTTCATTAAAGATGAACACAGTAACCACCTTCTATGAATGGTACCTAGTAGTTCAGTCTTTGCCTTAGAAGAGTTAAAATATAAAGACCAACATTAAATGCAGGAAAAAAAACAACAAAACTACAAAGTACTACTCCTTTCAAAGTCTACTAGTCACAAATTTGGCTATAAAGCAGGAACTGCAACTGGGGCGTGATCACCGCGTCGTGTGGTTGGCGTCTAATCCTGGACTGGTTGAGGTTGGGTTTTGATCCTGAGTTTTTCGACAATATAAGTTTCCGAAGCTCGTTCTATGGGTTAGGTGAATAGTGACGGTGTACTTGTACTCATTCTGCTTTTCATGCTCTCCAAATTTGTTTTTCCTCTTCCCCAGGATCGACTTTCCGTTAGTCTCGGCATTGGATTATAAATATGTCGTTCTCTTTTCCTTTTTGTTCCTCTGCTTTTCCTTTTATTCGCGTAGATAGTTATTTACCTTATCCGTTTTCAGTACCACAGATAGTAAAGTACTTTGTCATAGAATTCCCTCATGGAATGGAACTTTAAATACGAGGATCGGAGGCGTTTAAAAGGCCTGGAGACTTTTGCAAAGGATTCTGACAAGAATGTTTTACGAAACTTGGGAACGAAGAAACGACTTTCAATGAAAGATATCATCGACATAAAGGTGATTTTATTTCTTTAAACTTATTTTGGTTTGAACAGTTTTCTCTTTGGCGACCAATGTATCTAGTACTTTGTACAAAATCCAAGGAACGATGACGATTAGTGCTCTTACCTACTTGGATACTTGGATGGCCCGTTTTCACTGTTTGGTATCAGGACATAGGTGAATCGGTATTGGTTTACTCTTAGCTGGGCTTCCTCTTAGAAACGCCGGACTTCTCAACTTGAAAGACTCTACCGTGGGATGAATCTCCTTGTTGTACATCACAGTCCGAACCCCAGAAACATTTCCCAACTACGATGAGGTGGTAAACCGTTGGAAGGGATTATTACTCTTGATACTTGAAAATATGAATTTTGCTTGCTTATGGATGTTACTGTTACCTGTTTCAGTCTGCACTACCCCCGGATGCTCCGTTGTTCTTATTTTTGACCAAGCTGACAGTTCATTGTGAGGATGTCACTTACAAAGCCTCAGAGGAGTTTCGGTGAAAATCGTGTTTTTTCATTCTTCCTTGCTTTTTCTGTTCATTTTTGTATCAATTGCTTTCTTTTTTTCTGCATACCTCTGTTTATTGCTGTCGGTTCAGTGCTAAAACGGAATCGCTGCGTCGAGCACAGGAAAATCTAACCTATAGGAAAATTGTTCGATCCGTTGATGCTAGTCAGAAATACGGTAAAGTCGACCACTTGGAGAGTTTTGGAGCCGAACTTAGGGTATGTCTTTGGCTTAGGCTTGGGGTTATATTTGTCTTATTACTGTTCATTTTAAGTCTTCAGAAAGTCTTTAGATAGTAAATCGGCAACTAATATCAGTCGTTAACGTCGTTATAACCGTAGCTGGTGCGTTCTTCTTTGGATTCTCCGGGGTTCAGTACGCCTATCCACAGTTACATCTCGACATAGCTACTCGTTTTATAATAGGTCTTGTTCCAGCAACTGTAGTGTTTTTTGCAGATTTGTACTTTATTCTTAAGACAATGGATCAGGATGACTCTTCTAATAAGTGTCCTTTGCCTAATGTTCTGAACTTTAAGGAACTGTCGAAGAAAGGCAGTTAATCCACTATTATACTTAAAGATCACTAGTGATCGTAGAGTTTCACTTCTTGATTAAAGCACTTTGATTACTTCCTATCTTTTATTCTGTGATATTTTCTCTAATAAATAAATTTGTGTGATTTACTATCTGAGCTGTCGCTAAAGTGGTTTGGTGTTTTTGCCACTATTATTTTCTTATTGATTTCCTTTCCACTTCGTTACTCATGTTGATAGATAGGACTAAAGGACAGAGGGCTAAGGACTGCTAAGGACTTGAACAATGAGGAAATTGCGTCCTAGTAACGCTAGGCTACAATATTACATGAAGATATATCGTCTGGCGGCATCACCCGATGGTTGGTTCGGATACAACTAAGTAGTTTGTATTTTTTTCAATTACCGTCTACTACCGTTGCGTTAGCTGTCATCGACTAGGAAGAGGAGGTGCTAGTTCCACGGCAGGGTATTATCTGTGTGACAAAGTGATTCTGGGATATTTGCAAAACTCCGGAACGCAGGTGTCTAGGGCGAAGATCGAACCTCGTTATTGTCCTTTTAAGGAGCTAACGCGTTCAGCACCACATCACACGAGTCCTTCTTTTCGCCTTTCTGGTTGCTAGAGAGCTGAACTGAAAAACTAGCTGAGAGAGAGGCGAAACGAAAGACTCTCATGGTATGGTGGTGAATGCGTTAGCCCTCGGAAAGGATAATAGCGTGTTCGATTCCCACCGCAAATACCTGCGGTCTGGAGTTTTCCAAATATCTCAGCATCGTCATGGTTGTGCTTTCCATGAGTAGTTGTTTGTATTATTTTGTAGCAGTATTTTCTTGCTTTTCAGAATAAACTTTCAAAGGGGTTCTGTAAAGAGGTGTTGGTTTACTTTAGAGACATGGTTAGCTGCAAGTGATAATATTTCTCGAGTCTGCCTGTTCAAGCTCTCCGATTGTCTTTCTTCAAACGCTTCTGATGATAGTAGACGGCTATCGCATTTCTTTCAACTTCCGGAACCTTTGTTTGCAATGAAAACAGTTGATCAGTTGTTGGTATGTTGTTTTCCTGACACTATTTTAGCTTATTTTTGTTTCTATTTCTAATGATTTGTTATTATGCTGCAAAAACTAAAAGTTGCCGTTTAGCGATGGTAAGGGGTTGTCTGGGCGGAGGAAGCGCAATGTTTAGTGATGCCATCGACTAGGAAGAGGAGGTGCTAGTTCGATCCCCGCCGCGATGCTCTCCTGTAATCCACGTGGGAACGCTTTAGTCCAGCTAACTCCAAGATTGCAAGGAGAAGCGAAACGACCAGCATTCTACGACATTCGTAAAGAAGAAGGAGTCCTCGAGCAAGAGTTGAAACAACATGTGAAACGTTCGGAGAGATTGTGGGCAATGAATGCGAGGAAAATGAATCGAATGCGAGATATGCTGGGATTCGCAGAGTAGATGTGAATATGAGTAATATAAAATAAGCAGGAGGAAGGGGTAATGTAGTATTTCTTGCTTATAAGCGTTTTTAATGGCTGTAGTCGAGTACAGTGGGTTTTGAAGGAACGTTATTACTTTTGTCTTGTTATTCGTACTATATTTGGTCTAAGTGCTAAATCCTCTGCATTATTTCAAAGCTGTTTTGATGACGCAGGTTTGCAACACAGTGGTTTCTTTGGTTTGATGTGCAATCATATACCCTATCTTCCTTTTACCTCCGCCGTGTAAAAAGTAAGTGAATAAGAGGTCGCTGCACTGGACTTGCTTTCACAGCTACCTTAGAATAACGCATCCACTGCCACCTAGTATAAAAACGATAAAAGGATAAAGCTGCGAGAGTTGATCAATCTCTGAGGGATGCACTATGCTTTCCGAAGATGATTTAATGCATATCTGACCTTTACAGTGACTGATGTTAGCCTACTAATGCATTGAACCATCGTTGCTATCCTCCCAGACAAGTCCGGTACCAATTTGCCGACCCCGTAGAGATAGAAGGCTTGGTAAGCTTTGGGCGCAGGAATCGTTCCCATGTGTATTGCAGGGCGCCTCCGACCACTGTGAAACACGCGCGGCCCAATTTAGATAGTGCGGATAATTTATACATCTAATGTAAGTACTTGGTAAATTTAGGTTTGTGGTGATGCCAGCGGTCGTGTTTTCGCCTATGATTGGACTGAAGTGGTAAAACGTAGTGATGCTCCACCAAAAACTGTATTCAGTTTTAGTATTTTTGATGGTGATTTGTTCTTCACATTGGTTTATAAAAACTGCAGAATTCCTCTCAACAAATCGATTTTCAGTTACTGTTCATATTATCAACATATTGACATTAAGGAGACTTCTAAGTGGCTCGTGAAATGTTGAAGACTGATTACAGGAATACAGTCGCCAGTCTCTGTGCTCCATGAAGTTAATGGCCTTTTGTACTGTAGCGAGACGGAACGCCTATATGTTGGCGGTGCTGGTGACAACGCCGTGAGAGAGTATGACGTGAATGTACCTAATAAGGTTTTTGCTAATATACTTATTGTAGTAGTGTTTACTGCTCTGCCTCCAACGGTTTAGCGCCTCATCGTGGCTGAGAAGTGTTCCTGGCTGTTCTGCTGCGATCACTGGGGCGGGAATTCATCTCCCCAGCAGGGTTTCTCAAAATGAGAGGGAGTGAAGCATTTCCATTAGGAAGCCCAGCTAGGAGTAAATCAGTACCAGGATCCACCACAGTCTTGGTATCAAACTAGTCGCACGGTGGCAGGCCTGTAGTGGTGACTACTTAGGGCAGACGTTAGCTAAGTTGACCTAGGGACTGCAGATATCCACAATGAATCCAACAAATTCCGAAAAAAACGGATATTATGATGGGGGCCCGCACATCCAGTGAAGAGGGGCCATCCAAGTACCCAAGTTAGGAGTGGTTATTTCTAAAGGGAATTTTTGTGCAACTCTGTTTCTCTGAGTCGATATCACTTTAGCCAATTCGACTTTTCTCTGGTCATTCTGCAGCAGTTTGCGAATTGGCATCTGCTTCTTGCGAACAGCTTCTTAGTGCGTCGGCTGATGGAACCGTGAGAGTTTGGGATGTGCGAAAGAAAACCGAAGGCCATGTGATCTTTGTAGCTGATGAAGCAAAGGTGAGGGATTTCCGGCTAAGTAACAAATATTCGGGGTCATGTGAAGTATGTCGTCAAGGGCGCTCTTGTACATTTGTACTCGGAGGTTTTAAAAAGTATACTCTTTGTTAATTTACTGCTCTATTTAACCATTTTTGATGTTTTTCTGTAGTTCAGCTCTGTGAAAGTTAAACTGCAAACTCTCTTAACATTGGAAGGGTAGTCCTGTGGTGAGATATTGCCAGTTTGATGAGGGTGACATCACATGGCTGTTTAGGCAATTTAGAAAAAAGTTTTTGTAATCTATTAACAGTTTCTAGGATCGACTTTCTATTCACTTCAACATTGAATTATAAAACTGTTGTTCTCTTTTTTACAGCAATCGCGAGGTTGTTATTCTGCACACCTTTACTTCCTTAGAAATGTAAGACATACAACACAACGGTAGCTAACATTTCAGCAGTATTGCCTTCTTCAAGTATCCTTCTCTAACCTTACAGCCGCACAAAAGTGTGGCATGTGAGAAATTAGAGCTCTAATAAATTCAAAGACCATTAGGCCATCAGCTAGTGATGAGGGGTGGGTGAGTTCGTAGTTATTCCGCGCCAGCTTGATGTCAAGATAGCTGAGGAACATCTTAGTGATGTTACCCTTTATCGCCCATCATCTGAAAGGGAATACAAAAGTCAATACCGGAAACTAAACAACCAGTGGGTCAAAGTGGCAAAGGCGGTAGGCTTAAAATCGCCGGTTATTTCGCACTTTAAAGTCGACAGACCAACATGCCTCGTCTTATACCTACTTATTAAAACACATAAGTTGGTATCACTTGATGATCATGCATCAACCAATCCGTCATAATTTAAGGTTAGACCGATCATCAACTGTGTAGACGGACCAACGGATAGAATAACCTGGTTTTTAAGCCTGATACTTACCCAGTTGCTTAAACGTGTTCCAGCTCACCTCACGAACACCCAAATGTTCCTAGAACGTCTACGTAACGCGTTTCCTACCAACTCGTGCGTGATGGAGTCTTTCGACGTTACCGCGTTGTACACCAACGTATCGAATGACTCCGCTATGCAAGCCATCTTCGAACTTCTTGTTGAATATGAAGGAAGAATAAATTCGCATGGCTTGTCCACCCAGCAGTTTATGGCTCTTTTGAAAGAGTGCCTAAACTGCTCGATTTTCATGTGGTCTAGGAAATATTTCGCGCAAATAAGGGGCTGGCAATGGGATAGCGACTGGCATCAAGTTTTGCCATTGTGTTTATTTCTGAGGTAGAATCCCCTGTTCTCGGTCTCCTTCCGCTACTCTATTGCTGGTACATAGATGATCATTTTGTTGTTTCTAAGCAGGAGGAAATGGACAAATGCTTCAAATTATTGAATGAGCAGTCTCAGTGTGTTAAATTCACCCGGAAGAAACCGAGAAAAAAATGGCTTCCATTTCTTAGCGTTCAAATCAACTTATCAAGTAGCGGTTACATGACAAAGTGGTACCGAAAGCCAGGTAGCAAGAACATTCTTGTTCATTTCCTTTCTTCTCACCCTTCACACACAAAGAGGGCGATTGTGAGAAACATGTTTCGAACAGGCATCTCTGTGTGCACTACCAAGGAACTGAAGGAAGAGTCGCGCGACTTGGCTCGGCAGATAGCCATCTCTAATGGCTACAAAACAGTAGCCCCACAAGATAAGTTTGGAAGGAGAGCGACGCCCCAAAACGAAGGGTTTGGCCGAAACAAAATCCCGTTTATCTTGCTCTTAATTAGTGATGAAATAAGTGTAGCGATTAAGCGATGCTTAAGAAGGGCAGATTTAGAGGAATCGATAGCGATAGTTGAAATACTACCGGATACTCTACGTCGTCAGTTAGTTCGTCACCGCCTGTATGACCGTCTATGTGAAACACCAAATTGT